CCCCTTGTCTCCATCCTAACACAAGAAGCCCATAAAGAAAAAAGGCACTTCTTTTTGGCTCTTTAGTTCATTTCATCTTCTACAACAAGTGTCCTAAAAATTGCCTTTGTAAAGACACTGAGTTACTAAAAGTTGTTTTCGTAGATGCCAAGTTCTAGTAGTTGGTATTGACTCTGGAGTCCACAGAGTCTATATATAACTTAAATTACAGACTTTTAGAATTTGAACTCTTATAATCACCATTTTTTCAGTTCTTCTGAGAAAGAGCTCAGAAGTTTTGCTGTGGAGACAGTACCCTCCTTCTATCAGAGGAAGCTACTACATGGTTTTCCTTCAGAGAGTCTCTTTTTAGAAACAAAAACCATTCATTATAATCATATGCACCAAGTGGCTTTTTATTTCATCTAACAAATATTTATAATACCAATAATAGGCATAATTTATTGAGCACTTATTAGCACAGTGCCTGCCACATCGTAGTAAGGACTCGTGCTTTTTCTCATCTCATTTAATCCCCACAACAACCCTGTGGGTAAGCATCACAGATAAGGAAAAATGAGGCTCAGAGAGATTGAATAGATTGCCCATATTGCACAGCCAGGATTTAAACCCGTCTTCCCTGAATATCGTACCTGTTACTTTCTGCTGCCTCTATGCCAATTTACAATGGGATGTACAAAACTGAATAGAACATAGTCTTTTGCCTGCCTTTAAGGGGCTCCCAGTCTGTGGGACTGGCTCCTAGTCTTTTAGACAAGGCCTGGAGTAAATAGTACCAGTGCTGTAAGCATGATTGTCCAGTCTCAGAGGGAGTGATTAAAGCATAGGGCAGCAGACAGTGTCTGCTTATCTGCTCCATACTAAATATGATAAAGAGCTGGGCTAAGGAGTAGAAACTGATGGAATAGATGTCTGGAGTAAAGGAACAAGGGTTAAGAGATTTTAATAAAGAGAGGTAGGTAAGAATAGTAGTACTTTGAGATATTATGAACATTACTAAGGAGAATGAATCTTCAAAAAAGATAAAGTTCTGTAGTGATTTACAAATTTATTAAGCAAATGAAAACATATCAAGTTTGATTTCTCATTTGTAGTATGAGGATACCAGCCTTATGGGGTTTTTGAGAGAATTAAATAGGATGATGCACACTGAAGTACTGTTAATGTAGTGCCTGGCACATCATAAGGGATTATTATATTTAACCCATTGTTATTACTTTTCGCATAATTTGATCTTTTGGAAAAGTAAGAGAAGGAAATGCTTTATATACGTCATTATGCCAAAAGCTAAACTATATCTAGAATAGATTTTTGCTGCTTGTAAGACAAAGCAACTCTGTTCAACCTAATTGGAAATTGTTTTTCTAGGTTTCATTCCCTCTCTCACTGTACACATACTTTCCTACAACAGTCATTTGACTTTTTTTTTTTAATCAGTATAGCTATTTTAATTACAAACTAATTCCCTCTTTGCCAAAAGGTTTGTGTATCCGTTTGCAAGATGGCATGGTTATCCCAACACCAACTTTTCTGTCTTATCTGTTCCACCAGTATCACACACTGGCCTGACTGACCCAGCTCCAGGGGGTCACCTGTCCACCCTGCATGAATTAACTCCATCGATGTTGTCTGCTCCCATTGTAGCTAATGGCACTGACTCAGCCTTCCATGTGCTTGCTGCTAAGCCAGCCCATACTGCTCTAGCACCCGTAGCAATGCCTGTGCGTGAAACCAACCCTTGGGCCCATGCCCCTGATGCTGTTAACAAGGGAATTGCAGCCACACATTCGGGTAAGGTGGCCATGGATGGTGGTGAGGATTCTGGGATCAGATGAATGACGCCGATTCAGAAATCAGCCATTTACTGAGTGGAAACCTGGCAGGAATCCTTTCAGGAACAGTATGTTCCCTCCTGGAAATATACCACTATTAGGAAAGGATGGCAAAGGAGAGGAACTTGAAAGATTAGATTGATAGTTCTTAGGACTATGGAACAGAGACACCCCTGGAGCATTCATAAAATACAGATTCCTGGGCCCTGCCCTAGGTCAACCACTGAATTTGGAGATCTGTGGACATGCTCATAGCAAAGGTGGGGGGGGGGTCCCCAGAGTCCTCCTTACTCTGGCAGGCCTACAGAAAGGGCTGCCAAAAACACTTCATTTTTGCTTTTCTGTACTTTCTGGTTTTTCTATAGTGAACATTTGTTAACTATAAAATCAAAACAAATTTTAAATAGTAAGAGAGGCAGTTCACCTGAAAGATAACATGTGTCTTGAAGTGAGACAGGGCCATGAGGTACAGCACCAAGTCACTGGTTATTTTTGTATTCTGTTAGAGCAGAAGATGAATCACCTTGGGCCCTTTATTAGAGCATGTGCAAGCTGGCTTCTATATCATGGAGGAGCCACAACAGTAGGAAAGGGTTTCTGATGCCAGCCGGCTGCCTTCATTCCATGCAGTCTATCTAGATAGCTCCCTAGCGTGACTGAGACAGCACCATGATCTTACAGTTTCCCTTTGCCCTAAAACAAAACCTCCTCGATTGGTAATAGAGACTTTTCTCCCACCTGCCAGAACCACAGAGTATCCCATTAGGGGAACTTGTTCCACATATTAGGATCATTCAAGTTACATAACCTGTAACAAGGTTATCAGGTAAGGAAAGAAGCCCCTAAAGACTGATTCTTTTGTGTCTCTCCATCTTTTTCGTTCCCAGGGACTGAGTGGGGTCAATCTTCTGGTGCTGCATCTCCAGGTCTCTTCCAGGCTGGTCACAGACGCACTCCCTCTGAGGCTGACCGCTGGTTAGAAGAGGTGTCCAAGAGTGTCCGGGCCCAGCAGCCTCAGGCCTCAGCTGTTCCTCTGCAGCCAGTTCTCCAGCCTCCTCCACCCACTGCCATTACCCAACCAGCGCCGCCTTTCCAAGGGAATGCATTCCTTACCTCTCAGCCTGTGCCAGTGGGTGTGGTCCCACCTCTGCAGCCAGCCTTTGTCCCTACCCAGTCCTATCCTGTGGCCAATGGGCTGCCCTATCCAGCCCCTAATGTGCCTGTAGTGGGCATCACTCCCTCCCAGATGGTAGCCAATGTGTTTGGCACTGCAGGCCACCCTCAGGCCAGCCAGGCCCAGGCCGCCCACCCCCATCAGTCTCCCAGCCTGGTCAAGCAGCAGACATTCCCTCAGTATGAAACAGGCAGTGCTACTGCCAGTCCATTCTTTAAGCCGCCTGCTCAGCACCTCAACGGTTCTGCAGCTTTCAATGGTGTAGACGATGGCAGGTTGGCCTCAGGAGATAAGCACACAGAGGTTCCTGCAGGCACCTTCCCAGTGGATCCTTTTGAAGCCCAGTGGGCTGCATTAGAAAGCAAGTCCAAGCAGCGTACTAATCCCTCTCCCACCAACCCTTTCTCCAGTGACTTACAGAAGACATTTGAAATTGAACTTTAGGCAGTCTCTATGGCTTATGTATTTTGTCTGTACTTAGGCAAGGGCAAGGGCAGAGGTCAAAGGAGCAAGGGAACTTTGTGTTCCCAATCAGTATACTTTTCACTAATCTCAAAGGTCCCAAGGAGCGTGTCCAGGCACAGAGTGCTATGAGAGGTGATTTTTTAAAAAATCGGAAAAAACATTCCTAGAGAAGAGTTGTCTTTGCAGTTAGGCTAAAGAAGTCAGAGAAATGTTGCCCTCTGCCCCCTTCCTCCCTCGGCCTCTTACAAATCTCTGGCAACAGAGAGGCAGAAGTATCTGAACAGGAATCTGTATTCAAAGCACATTTACTGGAATATAAAACACAACGGGAAGCAAAACAATCTCCCTTTGTTTTACAGGCCATTCACCTGGCGCCTCTCAATACTGGCCTGTCTTAGAGATCAAGAACATGGTGGCCTGTGCTTGGGCTGGGGACAAGAGGCAGGCTATGCCGCCAGAATTCCCAGGAGGGCACATCAGCAGCCCAACAGAGCTATATTTTAGGGGTAAAGTTGAGCTTCCACTTTGAGTAAGAATAAATATTATAAATATATATATCAAAAAAAGCCAAAATCTTTATTTTTATGCATTTAGAATATTTTAAATAGTTCTCAATATTAAAAACTTGTATGAGTTGTAAGTAATCTTGCCAAAGGTAAAAGGGTTAGCTGTAAGAAATTGTACATAAGATTGATTTATCAATGATGCCTATTGAGTTGGAGAGAGGAAAGGTTGGGAGTTGTAGATGGGATCCCTAGCTTATTTGGTATCATTCATTGTAAGTAGCACATTGCAGCAACAATCATGCATATGACCAATACAGTCACTAGATTGTAGTTTTAAAGAAAATGAAAGAGCAGTATTGTCCTGGTTTTAAACCTGTGATGAAATTCTAATGTCTTTATTTTAATAGAATCCATCTAAATACACTCTATAGAGAATATGAATTTTCATATACTGCTGCAGTTTATGTTAATCCTCTGTTTTAACACTAAGGTGACAATGACACAATCCTATCCATCGACGGGAGCGCAGGTTACTGTGTTGGTTTGTCGTGTGGGTCTTGGTGGGTTTTATTTTGTCCTTTAGGTTTTGTTCCCACAAGTTTTGTGGGGATGGAGATTCTAGTTTTATTAGCTGTGTGTCCATCTGTCCCCCCACATGTGGTGAGCAGAACATCCTGTTGCCAGTTGCAGCCACTTGACCTCTGGCAACAACGGGAGATCCCATCTCATTTTTACTTTTGAACGTTGGCCTTACAATCAAATGTAAGTTATATATATTTGTACTGATGAGAATTTATAATCTGCTTTAACAAAAATAAATGTTCGTGGTAGAAGCTTTTGCCCTTGGAGGGCTGGTCTTTCCCCTTTATTAGCAAATGTGTCTTCATTCTTTTTAGTCTGCTCCATTCTGCTGCTACTACAGAACTCTGGTTTGGTGGCTAGAAAGTCTTTTATTGGGACTAATGTGAAGTAGAACTGGCATACAGTGTTATAGTTTCAGGTGTACAATATATTGATCAAGCAATTCTATACATTACACAGTGCTCACCACCGTGTGGTCACCATTTGTCACCATACATGTTGTTACAGTATTATTGACTATATTCCCTATGTTATACTTTTCATCTCCGTGACTTATAACTGGGAGATTGTACCACTGGATTAATCCCCTTCATATATTTTGCCCATTGGGACTGGTATATTCTTAAAATTCACATTTGTATTTATACTTTAGGCTTTGGTTGAACCTAAGTATATCTCTGATGTCAGTTTCTGGTTGCTCAAAGTGTGGTCTGGAACAGGAGCATGGACTGCACCTAGGAGCGGAGTAGAGGTACAGAATCTCAGTCCTATCCCTCTGCACCCCCAGCCTCATAATCAGAAAACACCCTGGAACAAGCTTCACCTTCTGAAAGGCCCTGCTGGAGCAGTGAGTCTCAGCCTTGGATACATACTAGAATCACCTGGAGAGCTTTCAAAATTCTCCTACCAGTCTATAAACCAGACTGATTAAATCAAAGGGCGGGGGTGCTGGTTGTTTTTTCTTAAAAAAACTTCCAGTATGGGAGAGGGTTGAGAACCACTGGTCTAGCTTAAGTGTTCCTTTTCCCTCTATTCTCTGACTAGTTCTGAGAAGAGCTAGCTAACCTCAAACTTACCTCATGAATGATGTTGCCATTTGGGGAGAACTGGGGAGTCCAAGAAAGTAGCCCTTAGTTTGCTGGTGTAGCAAAACCAGCCATGGTAAATTAAAGGGGATCCTCCTCTGTCATTTTTTTAAACAGAAAAAAAATACCTCTGCTGCTAACCCAGGTTTCCTGTGTTGAATAAGAGGTAGACCAAGAATTATCACTCAACCATGATGCAGTGTGTCTCTTTTCCAGCCAGTGTGCTAGTAATGAAAGTCAGCTTTCCCTGTAATGCCTATCTCCTATGTCCCAAATTGATCAGTCACAGGCCCAGTCAGTCCTCTAGATGCAGAAGGTTAAAGGGGAAAGGAACCTGGAAGCTCATTGAATCCATACCTCTTGTTTAGAAGCAAGGATCTGGAGGTTCTGAGAGATGGAGGAGGACTTCTTCCAACTCAAACCACTACTGAAACCATTGCTCCCCTACCCTGCTGATCCCTGTTTTTAATTGTCTGGTTTTTATCTGGCAGCAAATGTTTTGCCTCACAGGTTCCTGCTTGGGGAGGAGAGGCCCCCAGCTGGTCAGTGTACATAGCAGGTGTGTCAGCTTATCAGGTGATCCTTGCAAGCAGGCTCTGCTTGGTGGCCTCAGGATGAGGGATTCAGGCACCAGCTACCTGATGAAAGTAAGGAGCTCTCCTAGTTCTGTCATGCTCATGTGACCAGCTGCTGCTTCTTCATCCCACATCCTGTACTGGGCCTTATGTATCCTATTCCACTTTAGCAAGAGCTCTATACATACAGATGAGAGTTGAAGCTGACTGCTATACTACCTGGAAGGGTGAGGTTGACTAGAGCTATGGACCATTGTTTGACCCTGGATGAGATGGGAGTTCTAGCAAAGACAAATTGCCTGACACGGCAGGAATTAGTGTGTCCCATGTGAGATACGTGTTAATTTTAAAACCATTACACAGCTCCCGACCCAGTTGAAATGAAGTGAGAACTCTAGTAGCTTGTTTTAGAACCCAGTGAACTGATCCTGTATAACAGATTATAGAGGGAAGCCATAAAGGGTGTCCTTATTCAAGCAGATTCATCTTGACAGCTGCCTAAAATGTTAGGGGGAGAGGTGGTGAGGTGCAGTGGGCTCAAAGGGTCCATTCTCCAGATGATAGATCCTTTGCCAGCCAGAGACCATAGACGGAGAGTTGTTTCAGGACCAGGGCTGGAGCTAGCCTTCATCCCTGCTGCCAGATGGGCTGAACGTGAGGCTGGAAGTGAGAGCAGCTTGCACAGCAGAAGCTAGAGTAATACTCATTGCCACAGAGCTGGGCTTGCAGGATCAAATCACAGTTGGCCAGCTCAGGCTGATCCACACACTCCCTTCTGAGGTCCCTGGGTTGGGCCTGCAGTGCTGCAGAAACAACAGGGAGACAAAGGGTAAGGAAGCTCTGTGCACTGAAAAGTCCCACCTACCCTTTCTCTGCCTTAAGAGGAAAACAACACTAGAAGTGCCAGATTCCCCAAAAGTACACTCTATACCCTTCTTTTAACCCCTGTGTGTATACCCCACCCCCACCGTGGGCCTCATCTGGGCATGCAGTGGGCCTCAGCCCAGACTCAAGGAGTGGCTGACGGCATGATTTCCACAGCTCTTGAAGCTGACTCCCAACCCTTGCTATTGTGACCTGAAGAGCTGGCAATTGCCTTAGCCCCTGGATGGAGAAGGGAGGGTGTGGGATCAGCCCTAAGTAAAATATTGAGTTGGCTAGAGCTGTCCTGGTTCTCTCTCACTGCCGATTTCCTCCAATCTCAAAAATGTTGTGCTAGGGTACCTGGTGGTTAAGCATCTGCCTTTGGCTCAGGGCGTGATCCAGCAGTTCCAGGATCAAGTCCCACCATCAGGCTCCCTGCAGGGATCCTGCTTCTCCCTCTCCCTATGTCTCTGCTCCTTGCTCTCATGAATGAATAAATAAAAATCTTTAATTAAAAAGGAAAAGTTTTGTGCCTTCAATGACTGCAGTTTATCTCAGTCACTTAGTTCCCATCTTCCCAATTTTCCCAGTTCCCCCAGAGCAAGCAAGCATTAGGCAAGGTGATTAGGAAGTTAGGTGTATTAGGAGGTGATTAGTGTTATGAGCTATGGCTCTAACACTGCAATAAGCACAAAATGCTGTCTGCTGCTCCCTCTGTGCTGGGAGCTTCGGTAACTTCGCCTGTGAGAGGGGCGCCTGGCTGGCTCGCTTGGTAGAGCAAGTGACTCTCAAACTGAGGTTTGGCAGTTCGAGCCCCACAGTGGGTGTAGAGATTTAAAAAAAAATCCCTGTGAGTGTTTCATGCCACTGCCTCATCTTAGGAGTGCAAGTGGTATCATCTAGTTAACTTTCCTTTTCTTTCTGGAAGGGACTTTTCCAGCTTACCTTGGCTTAGGCCTGAATAACACCTTCCCTAAAGTCAGACCTCATGGGGCTTGTCTTCCTCTCCTTTCCCCCTGCTTCCTCCCAAAATACAACTAAAAGACGATACCTGAGTAGGGAATGACTCTATATATGAGTTTGGGAGATCAGGATAACTGCAGCTTACCCTTGAACAATAGGGGTTTGAATTGCAAGAGTCCATGTGATTTTTTTCACTAAATACTGTACTATAAATGTATTTTCCTTATGATTTTTTTAAATCTTAAATTCCTTATGATTTTTTAAAAGATTTTATTCATTTATTCATTAGAGAGAGGCAGAGACATAGGCAGAGAGAGAAGCAGGCTCCCCACAAGGAGCCCACTGTGGGACTCGATCCTGGGACTCCAGGGTCACGCCCTGAGCCAAAGGCTGACACTCAACCACTGAGCCACCCAGGCATCCCCTCCTTATGACTTTAACATTTTGTCTAGCTTACTTTGCCGTAAGAATACAGTATATAATACACAAACAATATATGCTAACTATATTATCAGTAGGGCTTTAATCAACAGGCTATTCCTAAAGGTTTTGGGGAATCAGTTACATTTGGGTCTTTGCACAGAGGGTTGGCACCACTAATCCCTGCATTGCTCAAGGGTTAGTTGTACCTACATTTTCATAAATAGCAAGCCAATTATCATAATTGTTTTTTAAAAAAATCAAGGTGTCATAGGGCTGAGCATGGTGGTTAAGTTGTACACCAGCTCTGGAGCCAGACTGCCTGGGCTCAGTCTTGGCTCTCATACTTCCCAGCTGGGTGACTTTGGGCATGTTATTTAAGCTCTGTGCCTGTGTTTCCTCACCTGAAATGGAGATGGGAGCAGCATGTTGGGCACACACTGACCGTGGCTAAACTGTGTTTTGCTCCGTAGCCTCATTCCCTCTCATTCAAAAAAGTGAGCCCCTGTGTTTTATCCCCACAGTATTTTCTGTTTCTCACCCCAGTCTTTTAGGCAAGAAGGTTGGGAAGTCCTTAACAGAAGTATGTCCCTTACACCAGAGCATGACTAACTCAAGGCCCCCTTACCCTGACGCTAACACTAATGCCAGTATGCCACCAGACCACCAGCAGGGCAAAGTGAGGCAGCCTCAAGCACTGAAACCCTACAAAAAGCATAATTGGTGAGAGAAGTCTGCAGCCTAATCAATAGAATGAATACAAAGAGGAGAGAGACTGCTCTAGTCAAGAGAAGTGTGCACAAAATATCTAAGATCAACAGTATTCATCCAGCAGAGGGCAGGATGAATGACTCCCACCATGTGTCCTGTTCAGGAGGCAGGTCATGTCAGACCATTTCAGCTTGAGACCACACATCAGTAGGAGCCCCACACACTTTGCCATCAAACAAATTTCTGATTATAATTTGGCTTCCCATGTAGACATGTCTGCAACTAGTCACAAACAAGAACACCTGGGTCCTCTGACAGCTCACTCTCTCACATAAATCCACATTCTGGTTTGTCTCAAGTCTTGTTAAGTTTGGGTGGTACATAGACAAAAGATCCATTTGCTGGCCATGATGGAGGCAAAAAATGGCCCCTGCAATATAGAGCTTTTGCGAAGGTAATGCCTTCATGCACACAATGCACTCAAGTCACCAAGCCTGAGCACCTCATGATGTCAAGCACTGAGGTGGGCCCTGGGGACTCGAGTCCCAGTGGCTGTCCTAAGGAGCTCAGAAACTGGAAGCCTCCGTGTCAGTCGGATTCACTAAGCAACATTTCCACCCCGGAGCATCAGCCTCTAGCGCTGGCTGGCAAGTTCCCATCTTAAGCATAGTAGGCAGGAGGCAGCCAGGCCCAATACCCTTTGTTATAACAGTGCTCCTGGTGTGGTGTGGTGCTGCAGCCCTGACTGTTGTGAACAGCCCAGGAAGGGTCCTGGTGCCCTCCCCCATAAGTCTGTTTCAGGCCTCATGAGAATCGGCTGCTCAGCCCAGATCAAGGACACATGGAAGGGCAGGCTGGGCATAGGGCGGGGCAGGTCTTCCTCTCCCCCTTGCCCTCTGGCTGATGTGAATACAGAGCTCTTGTGAATCCAACGTTAAACCACAGTCTGTCTTACTGATTCTGAGATAATGCTGATTTTCACACTTTAAGATGGTGTTATTGAACAGATATAGCAGCATATTTCTCATAGTGGTATGAAACTATTTTACAATATGGTATTTAGGTTCACTGAAATATAACTCAGAGCAAGAGCTGGAAAACATAAAGCTAAATTATCAAACTACTGACTAATGCAGGTAAAATTCTGTCCAGTTATAGGTATAATCATTTAAGGAAAAGAATATTAAATATGAGGAGTAGGGTCTAGACCCAGCTTAGCACCTAATTTGCTGTGACTTGTGGACTGGAAGGTTTCTGGATTCTGTCCCATTTGTAAGCTGGTGATACTAATCCCTACTCTTTCCTTTCTGGGTTTATATGGTCAAAGGGGCCATAAAGACACTTTTCAGTCATAGGACCATATTTTGCCACCCTGGTTAGAATGGACAAATTTAATGGTCCTGCCTTAAGAATTATACTGAAATTCCATTCCATCCTATTTCTCAAAATCAGTAAGCCTAAATATATTTGACATCACCTATCAAGCTGTTACCAGATGCCCATCATCGGCACGATCTCCTTCACCCTCACCGCAGCCCTCTCAAGGTGGTGGAGTAGCCCAGCTGCACGTGCAAGCAGAGAGAGGCTCAGGAAGGTTGAGCCCCTTGCCACAGGTGACACTACCAGGAATAGGCAGAGTGATTCAGGACTCAGACTGGAGTCCCTTGAACCACAGACCCTGCGCTCCCCTGTCCAGCGCAGCAAAAACCCAGCTCTGAGAAACAAGCCAAGTCCCTGGAGTGGGCCTCTTACCCGGCGGGACCACCTTCACCTCGGTGCTGCGGCTGACAGCCTGGCTTCCACGGTAGGCACTACATGTGTAGGAACCCTCGTCTCCGGCCCGCAGGTTATGGATCAGCAGTGTGCCATCTGGGGACTGGTGAACACGATGCCCATCAGCCCGCACTGGCAGCCCGTTCCTGGAGGGGAGAGGATGCTGGAAGAACCATCCAAGGCCTCTGGTCTTCAGGGGCCCAGGAGACCAAAGGAGGAGGTCACCACTGTGGGCAAACAGATGACCCTCACCTCAAAGACATGGGTCAGGATGCCAAAAAAATATATATATATATCAGAGCAAAATAACTCAGAAGTAAGGTGAACTCACCCCAACTAAGCACACTGACCTAAGTTATTGTGAATTTGCCTCTTATCCACAAAGGAACCCTGCTCTTGCCTTCCATCAACAAAGATCTTTTAAGCAACCATGAGAAGCCAGGCCCTCTGCTTAGGTGAAGGACATAAGCGCTCCCTGCCTTGAGGGCACTGGGGTGGGGTATGGTGTTGAGGGTATTGGGGATGTTGATGAGTGCTTTCCCTGAGGAAGACCTAGCTGAGACCTGACTTGAGGACAAGGAGGAGCGGCTGGCTAGTGAAAGGGAGAACAAAGGGACTTGCGAGCTCAACAGTAGGCCATGGTGAGAGCAGGGAGGGAAGTGGACACAGCCTAGACAGGAGTTCGGCCTGGACCCTGGAGTGAACAGAGGGGTGTGAGCTAAGCAGGACAAAGTATGTGCCCTTGGAAAAGTTCACTGATGGGCGAGGACAGCCTGAAAGCAGAAGGCAGGAGAGTGGCTCCCGCAGAAGGGCACACATGGATGAGGGTCAGGTGTGCAAGGCGGGAGGAGAAGAAATAAAGGACGACAGAGGTTCCTCACTTGGGTTACTGGGTAATAGTGGTGCCCCTCCACCATGCAGAGATCCAGAGCAGGAAGATGGCCAAATGGTGAATGTTCTTTTAACACCATTTTGCATCTTGGGTGCCCATGAGATACCAGGAGGCGTTGGATTTGAGGTCTAGACCCAGATAATGTAGCAGCACTGGATGGTTCTGGAAATCGCATGCCAACGAGGTTACCCAAGGCGAAGTTAGATTAGCCAAGGACCAAAGACAGACTCTGAGGTGCACCAGCCTCTGAGGGTTTGGTGTGAGATGATGAGCCAGCCAGAAAAACAGAAGCAGCCAGAGAAAGAGGAAGAACTGCAGAAGGCCATAGTTTCCTGGAGCTGAGGGAGCATGTCAGGAGATGCAAGTGGTCAGCGGAAGAACACTGCAGGTTGTGTGGGGACTGAGATAGGTCCAGAGGATTTAGGAGCCAGGCAGTATCCCTGGAGCGGGGTGGATGTGCACCCCTGTGCTAGGGCTGAGCTGTGAGTAGGGAGGTGGACAGGTGGAGACAACCACTATGAACAGCCGTGAGGGGGAGATGCCATGTGAGGCCAGAGTTTGCAGGGCATGCAGGGTCAGAGGAGGGTGTCTTCTATGTTTTGCTTTGACAAGGGGAGTTCTGGGCACATCTGCCACTGGGAAGATCAAGGAGAGGCAAAGTTAAAGATACAGGCTTGCAAGAATCATCAGAGGTCGGACCTGATCAGGGATGCATGGAGCGCAGCTGCTGAGAAGCCTACAGAGACTTCTGGCCGCCCTCCCCTGGTGTCACAGCCCCACCACCTCCCTCCTGTGAGCACAGGCCCCTTCCCTAACATCTCCAATACTCACCTTTGAGACTTGGTCAAGAACATCCTTCCCCTCCTCTGCCTTCATATATGGCCACCCCTTCCTTGATTGTCCCAGATAGGAGGCAGCCTCAGTTCTCTTTGCACAGATAGCACTGAACACAGGGGACACTGGGCTATCTCCTGCCTGGGAGTATCTGGGCGGCTCAGATCACACCAAGATCCCCAGAGCCTAGGCTATTCCTGACACATGGCAAGGAGGAAGGAGGCAAAAAAAATGCTGAAAGAATGAATTAATAAAAGAGCAACTGATCTGGGATAAAAGACCACTGAAGTCCCCAAAGCTGAGTATAGCCCAGTGGTTCTCAACCCCAGGGGGAGATTGTACCACCCAGGGCACATTAAAAAGCGTCTCCATATATTGTCAATTGTCATGACTTGGGAGGGAGTCCTACTGGCATCTAGTGGGTAGATGGTCTGGATGCCGCTAAACATCCTATAACACACAGGACAGCCCCAACAACCAAAATTATCCAGTCTGAAATATCAATAGTGCTGTTGAGAAACTGGCGTAGCCCAACCAACAGAGAGCAGTCCTATGGGGCCTCGTGGTATAGGGAAGGGGGTGCTGGAGCCCCTTCCCCTGGAGGCAGGGGCTGAAGAATGAAGGATGGGAGCTGCAATATCCCTGCAGAAAGGCGGGCCACCTCTCTGGCCTGTACAGCCTCAGGTGGAAGGGTCTGAAGGCCAGACCTGTGTGGAGAGCACCTTACCTGGACCATCTGATGTTTACACTTTCTCCTGTCACCACACAGAGCAGCCTGGCCGTGTCACCCTCTGGCACCATCATAGTAGAAGGCAGCTCTGTGATGGTCAGCTCCCCTAGGCCCAAGGAGGAAGCACCATCAGCCACTTGCCAACCCTGCCCTGCCTGTGCCATCTGACCTCCGAGGCCATGAGCCCCACTAAGCCTTCTGCTCAGGGCTGCCACCTTACCCAGAACTCTGAGCTGGACCCATCTCTGGGCTCGGTTCTGCCCACTGAAAGCAACACAGGCATAGAAGCCAGCATCCTCCACAGCCACGTGGCTGATGACCAGAGAGCCATCAGGCTGTAGCTCATGTCTAGGAACAAAGGACAATCAGGTGGCTCCATCCCAAGGGGGGGCTGGCAGGGTCTTCCTTTCCTTGGGGAGGGCCTGAGGAGCCCCTACTGTTCAATAGGGTCTGAGCAAAGGGCCGTCTAACCTTAGGCCCTGAGGTCTTCCAGCTGCCAACACTCTCGTTTACTTGGAGGTGCCTGACTTTTAAGCCTGGCAATAAAAAAAATCATTTCAAGTTTCCAGATACAAAATAATTCTGGTCTGGGTTTCTAGTTCTTGCTACACGCATTCAGAAGGTTCAAATCATGGTTCTGCCACTTAGATGCTGTGTGGTGTTAAGTTCCTGTGTGATGGGGATGGGGAAAATGGGGATAAAAAAGCATCTACCTCAACATGGCTCTTCTGCAGATTGTACGATGGAGAACAAGCCTCATATTCATAACAGGTACAATAAATGTTATGATTACAGCCAGAAATGGGTCTGCCTCCCTTTCATCCCTCAGCCATCACCTATTCCTAGCTGGCCCATTACTTCTGTCCCCACTAACCACTCTGGAAAGACCCAGAGACCCAAACACTGGTCGCCCAACGAGCACTATGCCCAGCAGAAGCATCTCTCAGGAGCCACTGGAATTCTGCTCAGGACTGACCAGAGGTGGTGCCTGGCAGCTGCTTCCCCGAAGGCCTGCACAGGGTGAGGGGCTGGAGGTGGGACAGGAGGGGTAAGAGAGGAGCTGCACACAAACCTGGGGGAAGAGAGGGGCTGCCCATCTCTCTGCCACTCAATGGCTGGGGGTGGGAAGCCCTCAGCACGGCAGGTCAACTGGATCCGCTGGCCTGGTTGGGCGTCCACCACCCCAGGTTGGTTCTTGTCCAGAAGCAGCCTGCAGGACAAGCACCCCACAGCCATGAGGGGGGCCCTCTGCCCAAGCCCATGGCCCCCTTCTCTCCTGCAGCCAGATTCAGCTTCCTGGAAGAGCTGCTTTGTTCTGGTCAGGACCACCAATAACTAAAAGCCAATCTAAAAGCCACCTCCAGCTTTCTCACCTTCCTCACCGCCTGCCTCCATGGCCCCAGAATCTTGACTGTCACCTCCCTGCCCCGTACATCTGCTCCTAGGTCCTTGACTTGGGCCCTGCAGCCCTCTGCAGCCCCTCTATGAATCGTTCAAGGCCACCTCAGGCCCTCTGGCTCCTGTGTGCTTCCTTCCCCTCAGCTCCTGACCATCCTCAACTGTTTGGGGAGGGGAAGAAGTTTCCCCTTCCTCCTAAGAGGCCACGCTCAGGGAGCCATGTTTCTCTTGTCCTCACTGGGCAGAACCCTGTGACCCACCCACCCTCCCTCCCTTTCACCACCGAGACCCCCTCCAAATAGGGTAGGCTGAGAACAAGCAGTCATGCTGTTACCTGGTCATGGGCCGAGGCCGCAAGGAAGAGATGGCCCCTAGGCCCCCCATGTCCCCCACAAGGCTGGGGTCCCGAGGACTGTGGCCCTGGGCTGGGTCCCTGGTCTGAGGGAAGTGCCTTGGCTCAGCCTCAGACAACACGGCCATATCACCCCCTGTCGTGAGGCCAGGAGAAGGGGTGAGCTGTGGGGACAATGGGGTGGAAGGAAGGGTGGGCCATGAGGCTGGCCAGGGGCGGGTAGAAAAAATGAGTGCCACAGGGGCAAGACCTCCACCTCAGCCCAACTGGAGCACACGGTGCCTGCCACCAGAAAGGGCCCCTCCAGTGTGGGAGCACCCTGCTCAGGCCCTCCCAGCCACTGGGGGCGGGGTGGGGGCAGAGACCTGTGACACGAAGCTGGATCTTCTGAGAGTCACGGCCTGGCCTGCTGCTGCCACAGCTATAGGTGCCAGCGTCCTCTGCCCACAGGGGACTGATGATCAGGGAGCCATCAGGCTGCAGCTTGTGCCTGAGTGAGGAGGTGACAGGCCTGAGCTCTGGGCTCCTGAGGACAGTAAGCCCAGCCCGCCTCAGGCCCCAGGGCTCCCACCAGAGGGGACTGTAGCCCTGCCCTCTTGTCCCAGCGGAGACCCCCGGGGCTGCCGCTGGAGGGTGGGCTGCCACACACATACCTGTCGGAGGAGATGGGCTGCCCGTCTTTCTGCCACCTGGCATGGGGATCCAGGGAGGTGCCACCTTGGCAGAAGAGCTGCACCAACTGCCCCAGGGCTGCCCGCACCAGCGACGGCTCCAGACCTGCCAAGCTGATCCTGGGAAGTGGGGGGGTGAGGACGTGCACTACTGGGACGCCTGCCAGGACCAGGGACTCCCCCTTTATCAGTGCCAGCCACAGACAGCTTGGTGCCCATCCTGTCTCAGGCACTTTCAGGGTCAGAGGGTCCCCTGGGAGGCCACACTCCAGAAGCCCACGGCCTCAGGAATCCACCCTCTCCATCCTCCCCACCATGCCCTCGGACGTTGCTACCTCAACCTGGTCCTGCGACAGCAGCAGGATAGACGCAAAGCCCAGGGCACAGAGAGGCCGGGAGAGATGGCTCACACCGCGCTCACTTGGGGAACTAGACCATGTGCTTGACCCCTTTGGAATTTGAAGTTTTATTTATTTTGTTTTTACCCTCCCCGAAGTTCTCATTAATATGACACAGTCCCAAGACTGTGGACCCCACAGTAAATCTAATATCACCATTTCACAGGCCAAGAAACAGGCTTGGCAAAGTCAGAGGACTTGACACCTGCAAGCTTTTCCAAGCAGACAGGCCCTCGGGGGGACCTGGCAAGGTCTGACCCAGATGGCACCACCATCTACTGACAAGTCTCCCATCGCCAAACCCAACTTCCCCATGTGTGCAAGGACAGAAATGAGGCCCTCCGGGCAGGACCAGCTGAGGACCTGAGGTTAGGGATGGAGAGGGAGGGCCTGCGTGGGGCAGGGGCGGGGGGGGGGGTAGCTCCAACAGGCACAGCGGCTGGCCTGGGGTCCCCACCCCAGACACGGGGAAGGTAGGCCTCACCTGTAGGAAGAGCTGTGGGAGGGCGGGGCTGGGCGCCCCGCATCTCCGCCCAGTCCAGGGGCGCTGGGCCCAAGCTCCCCGCCCCAGGGCCGTTCTCCGAAGGCCTGGCTGTGGGACTCCTCCCTTGGCCCAGGCTCTTGGTTGCGCCACCAGAGGCCACCAGAAGGCGGCAAGGGCTTCGTCTGGACCGCGGCCCCCGTCCTGTGCCAGCTGCCCTCTTGCCGGCCTCCAGGCCCACCGCCACCAGCGGCTCCCTGGGTGCTCTGGCCAGAGGCCCCGGGCTCCGGTCTGCGGGGCCCACGCTGAGGCCCCCGGCAGCTGCTCACGCACTCCTCCTCAGAGGCAAAGTTATTGCCGTTGCCGTGGCACCCGCCGTACCAGAAGCGGTTACACTGGCCCACAGAGGGGACGAAGTACCAGCGGGCAGCCCAGTCCGAGCAGGAGCCGTGGGCGCTGGGCAGCAGGCACCGCACAGGGTAGGCTGAGGGGACAGGGAGGGTGCACATCAACAAGCTGCGGACGTGGCCCGGCAGAGCCATGCCAGCAAGGGCCCACCAGCCCCTCAGCCTGGGACTTAGAAGCCAGACCCTTCCCAGTTCGCAGAGCACATCTACTCCCCTGCCCAGGCTCCCGACCTGGCCCTGGGGGCAGAGTCTGCTCACTGCCCAGACCTACCTGGCCTGGGACCATAGCAGCCTCCGAATCAGCCCATCTACCTCCACCCACAGAACTAGAGCCCCCAAGAAGGTCAGGGCCATGAGCAACCAGACTGGCCCCCTTATACCCCTCCCATGCCTGACCCAGGTCCCTGGAGAGCACTCATGGAGCAGCCCAAGGGCTTGGCCTTGATATGCTTAGCTCATGATAAGAACCCAGCCCTCAGCTCCCAGGGACACCTGTGAAGATGCCCAGTGGCCCTTCACCAGCCTCAAACCACCTCCAGCCGCCCCCAGCCTGCCTGTTCCAACAGTCCTCCTCCCAGCACAGCCTGCTCTATCTCTCTGTGTTCAGATGTGATGGCAGCTGGCCCCTGCTTAAAGCCCGTCCAGGGACCCAGCCTCCTGCAGACCCTGACCACCAGCCCCTCTGCCTTTTCAGTCCCCGACAGTGCCACCCATGCAGTCCATGCTCCAGCCTCAATGACCTCCCTCCAGGACTCATCCCAGGCACGGTACAGACACCCCTGTCCATCCTTGCACTGACCACCATTCCATCTCTGCCTCTGAAAGGGGCTGACAACCCCCCTGTGGGGGGGGGCAGGACAATGTGCCTTCCTTCTCTGGGGAGGCCCTGCCTACAACTCTCCCCAAGTCCCACAAGCAGTCAGGCCGTCTCAAGTGCAGACTCTTGGAAACAAGAACAACATGGCGCTGTTCTCTGACCTAGCGCCTAGTAAGTGCTCAGTATTTGTTGAAGAAATGGATGAATCACTGAGCTAGTAGAAAGCTCCAGGTGGGGCTCTGTGGGGGTATGGGGACAAAGTGGGACCACAGCCTCCTCACCAGGAAGGATGTAGGGGTACCTACTCACCATAGTTGGGCTGGCCCACACAGCCTTCCCCAAGAGGGCCAGCAGCAGAGGCCACATTATCATAGCAACAGCCAAACTGGGAGCCCCGACACTCACTGGGCTCATTCTGCTGAGCCTGGGGCTGGTGGGCCTTGGGGGCCTGGGGAGGAAGCCCAGAGTTGGGAAGTTGGCTCTTGGCAGGGACTCTAGGCGGCTTGGGGGAGGAGGACAGGAAGAGGGAGGAACTGAATTAGGAGCCCATGATGCAGAACCCCAGCCCCAGGGAAAGGTCAGATGAAGCCCCTGCACACATACACCCCCACACACCAGCCCAGGCCCATCTCAGAAGCCCGGTGGGCCTGTAGGCTTCAGGGACTTCCTTTCTCCAAGGCCAACTTGCAGAGAGCCTGGGTCACAGTGGCATTGAGCAGGCTCGGGGGCTGGATTTCTGTCCCTCGTGTGAACCAGACACTTACTGTGGAAGCCACTGCTCTTGACCCCGGCCTTCTCCTGGTGTTGTCACTGCTGTAAGACCCTGCACAGCCAGCTTGATGGGGCCCCTCAGCCGCAGACACCCCATCAGGGCAGCACCCATACCTAGACAGGCATCACATAGCTGTCTCCTCACCACCCAGCCCTGATCCCCACCCTTCCAGGGCCCCTGAGCTTCCAGCATCCCAGGACCTAGGCTCTGAGGCTCCCTGTGCTGGGGGGCTGAGCAACTGAGGATCCGAGCGGGAGACAGCGTGTCCCTGCACACGGGGCATACTATTTTGCACGCCGAGTCTCTGCCGCACCCACCAACCACCCGATGGCTGCCAGAGAAACAGCAGTAACACAGTAAGCAGAGCCATACCCCCATATGAGGTCCTCAACTCACCCCTCCCACCATAAACCCCAGGAGGAAGTTCACTGAGCCTGCCCAAACACCAAGTCCCCAGGAAGGTTTTGCAAAATCACAGGAGACGGGAGATGGGACAGAAGAGGTGTCAATGGAACCCACTGCGTGCTTCAACTCCATCAACCAGGAGATGGGAAGGAAGGTGAAGGAGAAACATATCGGAGCACCTTCCCTGTGCCAGGCACCATGGGACTGCTCCATCCTCACAGCAACCACAGCCAGGGGCTGTCATGGTTCCCAAATCTCAGCAGAGGAAGCCAAGATCAGAGAAGTAACTTGCCCTGATCCCCCAGCACACAGCTGGTAAGTGGCTGAGCTGGGAATCACCCCCTGGCTGCTGGCCCCAAAGTCTGGGCTCTCAGCACCCCAGCCCCAGAGAGACTGACAGATTGGTTTGGATCTAAAAGCTAGAATTACATCCCACGTGCCTTCCCAGAGCCTCAGACTACACCTCAACAGGCTAACTTCTACAGTGAGAGCCCAGATTTTTACCCCCACTCTGTGCATTAGGAAGATGAGCAACAGGAAGCCGAGTCCCCAAGACTGCAGAAGGAGGGCAGCTGGGAGACACCTCCAGAGTCCCATTCCTGAGCACTGCAAACCCCAGCCCCACCCCCCTCTGCAATCGCTGCCCTGCCCATCGAATACCACCTCCCCCCCCCCCCATACACACACACGTTTCCTCTTTGACCTGGTAAAGAGGAAGAGGCCCATACCTGCTCTGCTGACATGAGTCTCCAGGGCAGCCCTGCCACTGCGGCCCAAGAGATGCGGTGTGGCCATCAGGACAGCACCCATAGGCGCTCTGTCTGCAGTCTTGGGGTGCCAAGCCAGACTGCAGGGGCTTCTGGTGTGGGGACTGCGGCAGAGTGGGAGCTGGGCCTGCTAGGTGGAGGCCCTGGACTCCTCTGGGGTTTCCCTGGACCGAGGGCTGCTCCTGGGGGAGCCACCACTGGTGTCTAGAATCTAGAAAGAAGAGGAAGCAAAAGACACATGAGCCATCCCCTCGGCTGCTTGCCTCTGTGTCCACCAGACCTGCCTTCTCCATCCCCTCTAAACCACTTGCCCCACCTTGAACCTCCATCTCCTGGGCTCTGGGTTGGGGGCTTCCATTGAGCTTCTTACCCGAGGCGGGGGCCCCCTGAGGGCCCAAAGACATCCAGGAATCCCTGGGGCTGGTGTGCACATCCTGCATGCTGGGGACTTCTGCAGGGAGCAGGCAGTCAGGCCTGAGCAGTGGCCACCCTAACCACCATGTGCTCCCCTCCCGCTGCTCAGGCAGCGCCTGAGCCACTCAGGACAGCAGAAGTGAAAATGAGCAGACCTGTGATTTCATAAAACACCCTTCTCATGTTTTAAGAGTCTTTAGTCACTTAGAAAAAGCTAATGTTGGGACACCTGGGTGGCTCAGTGGTTGACATCTGCCTTTGGCTCAGGGCCTGATCCCAGGATCCAGGATCGAGTCTCACATCAGGCTCCCTGCATGGAGCCTGCTTCTGCCTCTCTCTCTCTGTGTCTCTGTCTCTCATGAATAAATAAAATCTTTAAAAGGGCAAAAAAAAAAAAAAAAAAAAAAGAAAAGAAGAAAAAAGAAAAAGCTAATGTTATGTGTTCAGCAAAAAGAAAAGCCAGATATAAAATTAGTATCTATGTTTGATCCCGACTACATAAAACAAAACAAAAAAATGCTACTTTTAGATTGAATTGATGAAAAGACAAACAATCCAACTTAAAAATGAGCCAAGTGGGGCACCTGGCTGGCTCAGTCCGTGGAGCATGTGACTCTTGGTCTTGGGGTCATGAGTTCCAGCCCCATGTTGGGTGTAGATATCACTTAAAAATCTTAAATAAAAAATTTTTAAATGGGCAAAGAACATGTACAGACATTTCTCCGAAGAAAATATACAAATAGCCAGTAAGCACATGAAAGGATGCTCAGCATCATCGATCATTAGCGAAACACAAATCAAAGCCACAGTGAGAGATACTCCTTCATACCCACGAGGAGGACTCTAATCAAAAAGCCTGAAATAATAAGTATTGGTGAACAGGAACCCTCATGCCTTGCAGATGGGAATGCAAATTGGCATAGCCACTGTGGAAACAGTTTAGCAATTCCTCCAAAAGTTAAACATAGAACCATCAGAGAGCCCAGCAATTCCACTTCCAGGTATACGTGCAAGAGAAATGAAAACAGAGGTCCACACAGAAACCTGTACGTGGGTGTTTCTAGCAGGCGTATTCATTATAGCCAGAAGCCGGAAACAACCCAAACACGTATCCACTGACGAATGAATAAGCAGATTGTGGTATAATCTGTATAATTACTAACAGCCATAAAAAGGACAAAGTGCGCCAGCCTGGATAAACCTCAGAAACACTCTGCTGGGTGAAAGAAGGCAGGCACAAACCTGTACTATTCCTTTCACACGATATATCCAGAACATGCAAATCCAGAGAGAGAGAAAGCACATCAGGCTACCAGGGAAAGAGGGTAGGGTTAATGGGGAGTAATCGGTTAATGGGTACAGGGTGCTTTTATGGGTGATGAAATGTGGTGTTTGTACAGCGTTGTGAGTACACAATGCCAAAGTGCATGCTTTACCATGGTTAACTGTATGTAATATGAGCTGCACCTCAATAAAAAAATTTCATATTAAAAACAACGGAATTGTTTAAAACATACACACACAATTTGAATGATAGATGAAGGGATAGAAGAAGATCATGGAAAAGGCACATATAACAAAATAGTAACTCTAGAGTTTAGGTGTGGATACACAGCTGCTCACCATGCAGTTCTTCAACTATTCTGTATGTTTAAAATTGTTCGCTATCCTTTCTCAAAAAATTAAAAAGGAATCCCACCTCAGGCTCCCTGCATGGAGCCTGCTTCTCCCTCTGTCTATGTCTCTGCCTCCCTCTGTGTCTCTCATGAGTAAATAAATAAAATCTTCCAAAAAAAAAAAAAAAAAGAATTACCGTGTAACACAGTAATTCCACTATTTACCCAAAAAATATGAAAACACTAGTTCAAAAAAATATAAATGCACCTCTATGTCTATAGCCAGATTATTTACAATGGCCAAAATATGGAAGCAGCCTATCCATAAATGAATGGATAAAGTGATACACACACACACACACACACACACACTCGGGAATATCACTCGGCCATCAAAATGAATGAAATCTTGCCATTTGCAACACAGATGGATCTAGAGGGTATCGTGCTAAGCAAAATAAGTCAGAGAAAGACAAATGCTGAATGATTCCATTCATATGTGGAATATAAGAAACAAAAACAGAAAAAAGAGACAAAAGACCAGATTCTTAACTGGAGAGAACACACTGATGGTTACCAGAGGGGAAATGGGGAGATGGGTAAAGGGGATTAAGAGTACACTTATCGGGGCATCTGGGTGGCTCAGTGGTTGAGCATCTGCCTTTGGCTCAGATCGTGATCCTGGGGCCCTGGGATCGAGTCCCACATCAGGCTCCCCGTAGGAAGCCTGCTTCTACCTCTGCCTATGTTTCTGCCCCTCTCTTTGTGTCTCTCATGAATAAAAAATAATAATAAAAATAAAAAAGATTCTCCCCTCCCTCTGGTCCTCCTCTGCTTGTGCTCTCTCAAATAAGTCTTTAAAAAAAAAAAAAGAGAGAGTGCATTATCATGATGAGCACTAAATACAGAATTGTTGAATCACTATTTTACATCTGAAACTAATATAATATTGTATGTTAACTGTACTGGAATTAAACAAATAACCAGGCCTATCTTTCCAGCATGGGGAATTAGATTAGGAGCTGCTTAGAAATATTAAAAAAAATTTTACCATATTATTATCCAACTTGGTAAACTTACTAAAAATCATGAATTGTACCATTAGAATACGTGAATTTTATGGTATGATATTTAACCACTTCAAAGTTATTTTAAACGATTTTTCATCATAAAATGGAGAAAAAAATGCAAAAGACTGAGTAAATATGGAACAGGAATTTTTGTAATGATGCATAACAGGACATATCCCCAAATGCTCATGGTTCTAAGCACTTCGTGGGGGAACAGGAGCAGGGGCAAGGGTCCCCTTCCTTCTATGTGTTAGTGCATTTCAAAATTTCCACAATAACCATAATGAGTAAAGTTATATAAAATAAGGGAAGAGGTGCCTGAGAGGGATGGCTCCGTTAGTTAAGCATCTGCCTTCAGCTCAGATCAAGACTCCAGGGTGCTGGGATCGAGTCCCACCATTGGGCTCCTTGCTCAGCAGGGAGTCTGCTTCTCCCTCTCCCTCTGCCGCCCCCTTGCTCATGCTCTCTCATGCGCTCTCTCAAATAAATAAAATCTTAAAAAAAGAAGTGAAAATTCCATCTCCCTCTGGACTGTATCTTGCCAGTCCCCAGGGAATATTTTAAAAATAATTTAGGGTCGGAAAAGTCTAGTAGATATGCAGTAAAATGTTTTTTTCATTTCATCACCTATCCCACGCAGGCCAAACCCTGGGCAGCGGCAGATGCACATTCTCTCCCCAGTCCAGCCATCTCAAGCACACCTGCCACCTCCAGCACTGTAGTCACAGTCCCTAGCCAGCCTGGGAATTTCTGCCTGCTGTCCCTCTGGTGCCTCATTTTAAAAGGCACCTTTCTGCCCAACCCATCCTGCCCATAGCTTCTCCTGAGACTCTCCTCTTCCACCTTCTCAGGCTTGATTTGGAGTCCAGCACCCCTTCCCGAGCACCCTCTGGGCATCAGGCTCTGCTGGGCTAGTGCCTGGCTCTTCATTTTCATGGCTCTTGCCAGCACTTGGATTTCTGCAGCCTGCTCCCCACCAGGCTCCTGCTCCAACTGCCTCCACTCGGGCAGGTGCCACGTCTGTCCTCCTAAATAGCTTTCATGGTGATACTATTGAGCTCCAAAGCTTTCAGTGGCTCCCCTGAGCCTATTAGACAAATTTAATCTGCAGCCAAGCCTTCCATCCCCAGCCCTAAGAACACCAGCCCCTGGACAGACCTCCTGCCGCCACCACCACAAGTCAGCTGAGGGTGGCTTCTGGTGCCCCTGCTGGCCTCACTTGGAGCATTGAGTACTTGAAGTGTGACCAGAGTGATGGAAAAACTGTGTTTTACATTTATTCTAATTAGAATTTAATTTTAAGCTTAAAAACTGACACTTGATTCATTTATTGGAATGCTTCAGTATGGTTGGAAAAACTTGGGTGTGTGAATCTACTTTTCTGACTGCACATTCTATAAAAATCTAAATATAGATCAAGTATGCCAGTGAAATTTTGCATCTGAATTAAGATATGCTATGTGAACGATACATTGGATTCAGATTTCTTTTTTTAATCTTGTGAAAAAAGAACGCAAAATAGCCTACTCATAATTTTTATACCAACTACATGTTAAAAAATATTTATTAGGGTTAAATAAAACATTATTTAAATTAAAAAAAATTTTAAGCAATCTCTACACCCACCCATGTGGGGGGGGGGACTCAAACTTACAACCCCAAGATCAAGACTGGACCAGCCAGGTATGCCGTTAAATGTAATTCTTCTTCTTCTTTTTTTTTTTTTTTTCTTTTTAAGTAGGCTCCACACCCAGCATGGAGCCCAACACCTGGCTTGAATTCGGGACCCTGAGATCAAGACCTGAGCTGAAATCTAGAGTCAGATGCTTAATGGACTGAGCTACCCAGGTACCCTAGGAACTTCCCACATTCTAACTTTTCCCCCATCGTGGACTTCTGCAGACAAATGAGATTGGAAAATGTTTACACACCAAGTGGCTTTAAGGGGGGGGGGGGGAGTGCATACAAAATCACACACACCTAACAAAGAAGTACACTAAAGATTTATCCCGGGATGCCTGGGTGGCTCAGCGGTTTAGCACCTGCCTTCAGCCCAGGGCACGATCCTGGAGTCCCAGGATCGAGTCCCACATCGGGCTCCCTGCATGGAGACTGCTTCTCCCTCTGCCTGTGTCTCTGCCCCTCTCTCTGTGTGTGTCTCTCATGAATAAATAAATAAAATCTTAAAAAAAAAGATTTATCCCACTAAAGCATAGGATCAGGGCAGTTTCATTTGTCTATATGCTGTTTTCCTAATTTCTCCAAAATTTCCACAATGAACATAGATTGTTTTATAAAACTAACCATTAAGGTTGTTTCTTTTACAATGCAGCCCGGCCTGAAATCCTTTGTTTCCTACCTTTCTCTCTACAAGAATGCCTCTCTGGGGCAAGCTCAGGGCCACCTCTTCCAGGAGGGTGTCCATGGCTCTAAGAGGACCCTCCTGCCTGTGCACAAGGGCCAGACTGAGGCACCCCAGAACCCTGGCCCGGGGAACCCACACAGCCTCATGTCCACCACTACCAGCTTTTTGCTTCCCAAGCTCTGTGTGTTCAGACACTGTGCCAAGTGACTCACCATAAGAAAAGCACTCTTATTAACCCCATTGCACAGATGGGCAAACTGAGAGGAGAGACGCTCACCTGGGCCACAGAGTTGGTCAGCAATGGAATAGAGATTTAAACTCAGGTTAGCTGTTAACTCCAGGCCACTGGTTCTTAGCCATCGTGTCACATGCCTCCCTTGGAACTCCAGCATCATGGCTCACAGGGCACCCACCACTGGCAGGTCCCGGCCAAACACACCTCCCTGCAGTATCAGAAGGCCACCACCCCCACTCACCCAAGCTGAGCCCCAACCCGCATTCTTCCTCAATATCACATCCTCACACCAAGCAAGTACTGCCCCTGGGCCCTTCCTCCTCTGCTCTTCATGCCTGGGACGTCTTCTTTTCCAGTGGGGATGGGGATGAGCAGAAGGGGAAGATCAGGGCAGGAGCAGTGTGTGAGGACAAGCTTTCCTGGACCACACCCCTTCGTCTGCACTCATTCAATAAACATTTACTGATTATCCAGCTCCTGCTAAGTTCTGTGGGGGGCACAAATAGCAGTTAAGGATGTCAGGGACTGGGATGCCTGGGTCCCAGTTGGCTGGTCCCAGAAGGCTCAGTGGTTGATTGTCTTCAGCTTCAGGTCATAGTCCCAGGGTCTTGGGATCCAGTCCCACATCAGGCTCCCCGCAGGGATCCTGCTTCTCCCTCTGCCTGTCTCTGCCTCTCTCTGTGTGTCTCTCACGAATGAATAAATAAAATCATTTTTAAAATTTTAAAAAGGATGCCAGGAACCCAGCTTCCAGGAGCTCAGCGCTAGTAGGCCTAACTAACCATATAGCATCGCAGCAGCACAAGGCAACTAACCCAAGAGTGACGGTAGTTGTGTGGACTTTGGGGGTGGGAGAAGGGTGCTGCCACAGAGGGGGAGACAGGACTGGCTCAGAGGCTGCACAGACCCACACTGGGCAGACGGCAAAGGCTCTAGCAGACACAGAGGCAGGAGCAGAGCATTGCAGGTGGTGGACACAGCACAGGAAGTGCTGGCTAGGCTAGTGGAGGGGGCAGAGGTGGGGCCAGGCCCACTAGAGCCCTCGCATCCCCACCCCCACCCTTACCTGGGGGCAGATGGCAGGGCTGGGTGTTACAGGGCTCCACCTCCCCAGGCTTCCATGGCTGCAGGCTCCCGCAGTGACCAGGCGGCCCGATGGCACAGGTGACCTGGCGCCTCCGAGTACCCGAGCCGCAGCTCCTGGAACACTGGGGCCCACGAGTGGGCGTGGGAAGAAAGGACAGGCTCACCACCAAGAGCACCCCGGAGACTGGGGGAGCCCGCAAGGGAGAGAGGGAGGGGGAAGGTGCCAGGTAATGCATGTCAGGCCCCAAGATGGTCATGGGTACAGCCACCTGCCAGAGACCCCAGGGACCAGGATGGGGCAGCAGGGACAAGGGGGGGAAGTGGGCAAGCACTTACCAGACCCCAGGCGCCCACGTGCCAGGCCTGGTCCCTGATGGGGGGACAGTCTTCATGCACACAGGGCTCAGTGGTAGGGGGGCGGTGCTCCGAGGAGCATGCCATGGCAGGGAGCAGAGCCCCCTCATCACTCCGGCAAGTGACGCTCCGCCTCCGGACTCCTGCACCGCAGCTGACAGAGCACTGTAAGGGCCAGGCTGTCAGCGGAAGCTTGTGCCCACCCGGGGGAGCCATGCCAGGTCACAGAGCTGGAGCCCCCCGCCTGGCATGGAGGGTGGACAGCACCCTACTGCCCATGCCCAGCGCCCAAGCTCAAAGAGGCTGAGCCACTCTTCTGAGGTCCCATAGCCTACACCATGCCTGCTGACACCAAGCTTAGGTACATTCCCACATTCCCCTGTTGAGACTACATACAGGGGCTGGAAGCAGTGACCAGCAGCCCCAGACAGTGCCAGCTCCTCCCTCACCCCCAAACAACGTGCCTGGCTGCTTCTTCACACAGAGACAAAGCCTTTCCTACCCCACCTGGGATCCTGGAGGAGGAAGGGTCCAAACACCTGCTCCTAGTCCCAGCCTTGGCAACAGCTTCTGAGATGCCCTAGCAGGTCACTTTATTTCCCAGGATCTACTTCCCCAGTGGAGGCCAAGTCTCCCAGCCTGGCTCTGCTGTGGCCCCAGGCCCAAGACCCAGGCCCTGACTCCCTCCCCACCCTGCCCCAGCCCCATCAGACAGAGGCCTCACCTCTCCCCAGGGCTCTGCACTCCAGGCTGCACAGCGCTGCAGGTTGCAGGCCCGCGTGGTGGGGGGCTTTCCCGGCAGGCCTGCACACTCTGCCTCCTCCGCAGCCTCCTGGACGCCGGCCCCATCAGATGAGATGCAGTAGACAGAGCGGGACTGGAAGCCACCACCACAGGAGGCAGAGCAGGGCAACCAGGGCCCCGTCTTCCAGCTGGCAGGGAGAAGGAATCCGGTAAGGCTGGCCCAGCAGCAGGGGCCGGAGTCCAGGCCCAAGGGAGCACCAGCTGTCACACACAGGAGTGGACTGGGGATCCCCCCAGCCTGGCCCATCCTAACATCTGGGCCTGTACAAGTGGGGGGCAGAAAGCCCTGCACAGAAGGCCAGGCCCCATGCTCTGCTTGCCATCTCTCACCACCAAGCACTGGTCCCTACGATACAGAGCCTGGCTGTGCCCCTCTTAGCTTTTCTGTCCTCACCTGTGTTCTCCTTCTCATCAGCGGCCCTGGCACCCCCAGCCAGACACCACTGCCTGTGTGTCTGACCTTAGTTGGGGTTATCTCCCAGAGGGACCATGCTCCCCACATGTGGTGTGGCCCTGCCCAGCCCTGATGCACAAAGACAGGAGGAAAGGCCAGTCCCAACTGTACCGTGCAAAAGCCAAGCCCACCACCATCCTGCAAGGCCAGAAGTCACCAGGGCCATGAGGGCAGAAGGGTTGCTCCAGCCCTGCAGGGAGCCTGCAGATTACCTGTTCCTGCATGCACGCTGGGCCCCAGCAAGATGCCACACTCTGGGCCGGTGCAGGTAAGAGGTCCTTTGTGCATGAACAAAGGCATTGCTGATGCCCACAGGCCCTCTGACCCAATCCCTGGCCCGTTTCTTAGCATCTGTCGAGCCAAGTCCCCTGCTGGCTCGGAGAGGGCCTCCAGTAGCTTCCCCCACTCTCCCGCCACCAGCCTGGACATTCTGGGCACTGCTCGGGCACACACGGGTGGACAGGACAGCCCTGGATCTCGTGCTCATGTCCTCTCCCACTGCTTCCCCCAGTCACGGTTGCCTCCTCCTCACTCCAGCCACATCTGTAGGGAGCCCTGGACACCCAACTGTTTGCTTAACACCTAAAGGGCCTAGAGCCCCAACTGCCTTCCCATCCAAGTGCTTGGGCCCCACCATGCGCGGAGGGGGCTGGCAAGGGCCTCACCGCTTGGTCTGCGGGCAGGGGTGAGTGCTGCAGGGGCGGCGGTCAGCCGGCCGCAGCTGGGGCTGGCACCTGTGGTCAGGGTAGACCTCGTCGTCAGTGGTGCAGAACACTGCGCGGGACTGGTGACCTGCAGAGGCCCAGCCGCCGAGGGCAGGTGGTCAGTCAGCATTCACCAAAAGCATTCTCTGGGCTGGGCACCACTCTGCACCCCCCCCAAGTGTCGTCGTGATTAAATCAGCCTCAAATGACCCCCCCGGGATAGGTGCCATCATCACCCCCAATTCACAGATGAGGAGACAGGCTGGAGAGGTGCTATCTGCGATGATGGAGCCCTGCTCTGACACCCGGTCACCTGCTTAGGGCCGGGCCTCCGTGGACGGCAGAGAGCGGTCTCCTCAGAGAGGCCGCCACCTTGGGGAAGCCTCCTCTGGTGCCCTTAGCTTGGGAGGGTGTTGGGGGGCCCTTCCCGGAGTCCCCCCGCGCTGGGTCTCACGTCCCCGGGCTGCCCTCACCTCCGCCGCACTCAGCGCTGCAGTCACTCCACGAGCCGTGGCTCCAGCGGAAGCCGGGCCGGGGGCTGCCCAGGGGCAGGTGGTACTCGAAGCGCACGCCGGGGTTGGCCTCCTGGCTGAGGAGCTGTGGGCCGGGGGTCCTCGCTGAGGCCTGCCCTCCCAGGGTGCCCCTCCTCGGCCTCGGGGGGCCGCCGGCGCCCCCCCTGCCCGCCAGCCCCTCACCTCGACGACCAGGGGCTCGGAGGTGGGGCCGCGAGCCAGGAGCCGCTCCGGCGCCAGGTCCCCCTCGGCCCCGCGCTCATAGCGCAGGACGGTGCTGGCCGCGGGCAGGGCCCAGGCGCCCCCGATGGTCCAGTGCCCGTTGAGGTAGTAATCGCCCAGGACGTTCTTCACCGCTGCGCAGGGGTGAGCCGCACGGTCAGCTGGGCGGGAGGGGAGCCCGCAGCCCTGCCACAGCCCAGAGTGGCCCCGACCGACCGCACTCACCTAGGAAATTCCTGCTGGCGGCCACCTCCTCCACGCGGATGCTGGTGGCCCCCATGGGAATGATGAGGATCTGGTTGTAGCCTGGGTTGGGGTTGGGGGTGGGGGGCAAAGAGACTCTAGGACCACCCAGGTCCCTGGCAGCCCAGATGGGCTCAGGGACCTGCAAGCAGGACATGGGCAGGCCGAGCTGCTCCAGGGAAGAGCCCTCCAGATGGGGGAAGTAGCTTTACAAAGGTGGGAAGGGGGGGCAGGCTGGGGTACCTGGTAGGGGACAGCTGGGGACAGAGGGAAGGGTTGAGTAGGGGCATCCAGCCGGCAGCAGCGTGAGATTACGCTGGGTGAGTGAGCAGAAGTCCTTACTAGCTTGAGCCTACAGGCACATGTAAAAGGCTCCAGCCTCCACCCTGAGCATGACCTGAGTGCCCCATCAGATCCCCCTCAGTGTGTCGAGGCTGACTCAGCTGGAACGGAAGACAGGCAAGGAAGGGACAGGCAACAGACCCTCGTCTCCACTGCCTGCAGATCCCCAGAGGACCCTCACCTCTGCTGAGGTCATTGGAATCAAAGGTGCCCGTGACAGGGTAGCAGGTGGTACCATCACCCCCACACTGCAGACACTTGTCCTCCTCCTTTGATGAGTCTAGGTTGTGGTCACAGCCCACGACCTACCAGGCAGGAACAAGGAGGAGATGAAAGATACCAGAGGGAGTCACAGACAGACACACCGGGATTCGAACCCTGGTCGATGGTCAGGTCAGGGAGGGGCAGTCACTATTCGCCAGCCATCGAAGCTGAGTGAACACTGGATCTGGCCTGTGGCTGACAATCTACATTTACTGCCAGCTTAGCACCCATCTCCCCTTTTCTGGAAATGATGCCTCATTTTTCTTTGGGGGCCACCTCTCTCCCAGTTTGGATAGAGCACCCCAACAGTGAGTGTGGGCAAATCAGTGGGTTCTACACCTTGCTCAAAGAGAGTGTGGGCGATAGGAAGCCCTCAGCCAAGACAAATCAAAGGCAATCGCAGGTCACTGGAACTCCTGGGAAGAGGGTGCCCTTGCCAGCCAGAGCTTGGACCTGCTGGTGGCCATCTGCACACCTCACAGGACCCCAGTGCTGATCCAGAGGAGAATAAAGCCAAGAGGCAAGGAAACATTTCCAGCACCTGCAGCCAGCCAGCCCATCCCTCCATGGCATTTTCCTCCCCACCCCCTTGTCAGTTTTAGTTCGGTTTCTGTAACTTGCCACCCAGAGGGTTGCTCCTATTGTGGTGCCAGTTTTCAAAGAGCAAAGGTAAGAAGGTCACATGGCATCTGTAATGCAAAGACACCTAAAAGCTGGTCGTCAGAGGACATCAACCTCATGAAAGCCACTGGCCCTGCTGGTGCAGGGCAGGGAGACATCCCCAGACCAGCCCCCCAGGTGGGCAGTGGATACAGGGCCACAACTCACCCGGCAGCTGCCATCCACACAGACGTCCCGTTTGCCAGGTTCACAGGGTGTCCCGTCCACGACAGCCTCCCTGTGCTTGTAGTAGAAGTTCTCCCCCTTGGGAATGCAGTTCAGTTCACACCTGTTTGGGGCTGAGGCAGACAAAGGGGAATGCTGAGATCCCAAGCAAGCTGCAGGTCCCATCCTGGGAACAGCGAGGCAGGGCCCAGAAGCACACAAATGGTGGAGAAAGCATCCTTGCATTGGCTCCCCCAAGTGGCTCAGAATCCCAACCCAGCCCTGAAGGAAGCAAAGTTCACAAAAATGATGCCTCTCTGGGGATCAGAGGAAGAAAAATCCCAAAATAAGGAAAAAGCTAGCTGCTTGGAGAGGTCTAGCTCAGCCTTATAATAAGCCTATGTGTTAACAATAAGCTCCTCGGGATCCCTGGGTGGCGCGGCCGTTTAGCGCCTGCCTTTGGCCCAGGGCGCGATCCTGGAGACCCGGGATCGAATCCCACATCGGGCTCCTGGTGCATGGAGTCTGCTTCTCCTTCTGCCTATGTCTCTGCCTCTCTCTCTCTCTCTATCATAAATAAATAAAAATTAAAAAAAAAACAATAAGCTCCTCTACGTCAGTTATTAACAGAAAATTACGCACATTGACTATGCTGTAAAGTACGGAGACTACACAATAACGTGGGAGGCCACGCAATACAGAATGGTACTACATAATAATTACAAACATGTAAGCATATATATACAGAGAAAATAATGTGGAAAGGGCTAGAATGCAATGCTGGACCAAATTCTATGAAAGGTGTGGGGTCAAGGTCATTTAGAGGTTTCAATTTTTATAGCCATCTAAATACTATATACACATTGTTTAAGCGACCAAAAAGTGCTAATAGGAAGGCAATCACTTCTACCACAGAGAAGGCAGCCCTCCGTGACCCTTTCCTGTGTGTCCTGGTTTTTCTATATGGATATATTTAGGGCACCTGGGTGGCCGTTGGGCATCTGACTCTTGATTTCACTTCAGGTTGTGATCTCGGGTTTGGGGATCAAGCTCTGTTTTGCTCCACGCTGGGCATGGAGTCTGCTTGGGATTCTCTCTCTCCCTCTCCCCCTGCCCCTGCTTGTGATCTTACGCACTCTCAAATAATTTTTAAAAAATCTATGGATATATTTAAATTATCCAGGAGGAACAATGAATGCCAACAGGCTCCCTTGGGGCCACGCTTCTAGCCAAGACCCTCTTCCCCATCCTAATACACACAGGGTATAAATGTTCAGTGATTTGGAATCCAGAGTGCCATACCCTCCAGGAGTCATTTGCAATGAGCAGCGACCACTAATACTCAGAAGAATTACCCTAAGGGATCTTCTGACTCATCTAAAATGTTCTAATTTTATACCCATGTTTTTTTTCTTAAACTATATTGCTCTAAAAATGAATCACCCTCCTCAAAGCTACTCAGAGCAGAGTAGCTGGGCCCCAGAGATCCTGAGTAAATGGGCTCTCACTATACTAAGCCCCTTGCAGCCCCGACCTGCAGTTGGCCCAAACTTGGACCCCACCTGACCAGCGCCCCACCCCCACCCCATGGCCTCTGCGCATCCTGAGGACCTCTGTGCACCATGAGGAATGCTCCCAGAGCAGGCCAAAGCAGGCTCCAAATGGCACGGACATGGCCTAGTAGCTGTGTTTGAAAATGTGTAGAGGGAAATAAAGGATGGAGAGACCTCAAAATGACTCCCCCTCTCTCCCCGCTATGTTGCGATGAGCACCAGCTGGGAGTCCTGTGAGTTTTTAAAATGTATTGACAGAGCATCCGTAACACGGTGGTAAGCACTGTGTAATGGAAAATCAATGCACAGAAGAGATCCCCAACATGGGGGGATGGGCGGTGGCTCAGCCCAGGACCACGCAGGTGCAGCGGCTGGGGTGCGGTCGCTGGGGACCTCCACCTACCTCCGTAGTAGGGCAGCCACTTGTACCGCCTTCCCTGGAAGTCCTGGCTGTCCAGCTGGGAGCACTGCTCCGCCCGGAAGTCCCTGGCACCCTCGGGGCAGCTCTGCGGGGGGCCGGTGGGGGAGAGAGGGACAGATGGGGCCTCCGTGGGGGTCCACCCTCCCCACTGCGCCTGGGGAGGTCTGTCCCGTCCCCAACAACCGCTCCCCCCTCACCGCTGCGGCTCAGGACAGGGCCGTGGGCCCCTAGGGCTCCCGAATGCCCCCCTGCAGGGGCGCAGGGCTGTTTGGGGGGAGGCTGTCACTGTGGGTGGGAGGCGAGGAAAGGGCTTCCTGCAGCGCAGGCCATGCACCAGTGAGAGGGCGCCCCGGGGACTGGGAGGTCAGCCAGATGGGGGTCCCAGAAGCTGGCGTCCCCACTCCTGTGGGCTTTACCTCGGTGTGGCAAGAGCGGTGGCTCCGGGTGGGGCCCACGCAGTTGGAGCCCCCATCTCTCCTGAGGATGAGAGCACAGAGGAGCCCCGAGGCCAGCGGACCAACACCCCCGCCTCCTCCCGGGCTCTCCCGCAGGCCACGCCGGGCAGAGGAGGGGCGCCCGCACACGCGGCCCCTCAGGGAGCTACAGTGAGCCCCGTGTTTAGACTTTATGCTAGACTCGGAAGTCTATCCCGGAGTTCCTCTAACTCGGGGCTACCCTGCTCTTACAGCACATTTCCAGAGAAAACCCAAATTCTGCCTTTGGAGATAAAATAAGATGTAGTGGGATCCCTGGGTGGCGCAGCGGTTTGGCGCCTGCCTTTGGCCCAGGGCGTGATCCTGGAGACCCAGGATCGAATCCCACGTCGGGCTCCCGGTGCATGGAGCCTGCTTCTCCCTCTGCCTATGTCTCTGCCTCTCTCTCTCTCTCTCTCTCTCTCTCTCTCTCTCTCTGTGTGACTATCATAAATAAATAAAAAAAATTTAAAAAAAAATAAGATGTAGTATATACCCACCTGGTAAGGTCATTGGGCATTTACGGAGTATATGGGCCTGGAGTAATAGCTCCTGTCTCTTCCTCCGCACGCGAGGTTCTCAGGGATAGGGAGTTATACCCACTCACAGGCAAAGGGTCCCCCCCACCTTGTGTTGTGCCCCACACCCCTCTGGCACCTATCAGAGTACACAGCACCTCTTAGGTGCTTGATACTTCACTTAAAGTGGGAGGCGTCTATACACAACAAAGAGGCCAAAGGGAGAGAAACAGCACAGGTTAAGAACTGAAGCTTGTTGGGCAGCCCCGGTGGCTCAGCGGTTTAGCGCCGCCTTCCGCCCAGGGCGTGATCCTGGAGACCTGGTATCAAGTTCCACGTCGGGCTCCCTGCATGGAGCCTGCTTCTCCCTCTGCCTGTGTCTCTCATGAATAAATACATAAAATCTTAAAAAAAAAAAAAAAAAAGAATTGAAGATGGTTCATTCACCAAGAATTTAGGGCACCTGCCACATGCCAGACACAGCGTTCGGAACTAGAGACTCAGGGGAGGGTGGAGCACACACGGCTCTAACCCCCTGAAATCAGGCTGATTGTTGGAATCAGTGTAGTGGGAACCGACGTGATTTCAAATTCTCCATCCAACCTGCTCCCGCAACAAAACCTATTGTTTGATGAGGGCCGGCCAGGTCCACGCAGGTGACACCAGGACCAGCTGACTCCCGGGCGGCCTGCCCCGTGTCCTCTCCTAACAAGCCACCCGTCCAGCCCTCCTACCTCCGGGAGTAGCAGGGGCGCTCCCGGAAGCTGATGCCCCCTCCGCAGGTCCGGCTGCAGGGGCTCCAGGTACCCCAGGGGCCCCAGGTGTCACTTTGCCGCCTCACCTTGGGAACCTGGAGGAAAAGACACGCTCAGAAGTGTGAGTCTGCACTCAGTCCCCTCGGGCTCACCGGAGGGCCCCTGCCAAGAGACGGTCCCCTGCCTCACCTTGGGAGCCTGTGAGTCTCTCTCCCAGGCGCCCCAACACTCACAGAACGAGCCAGCTTTCCCCCCCACCCCCGAAGGAGCTGCGAGCCTTTACCAACCCGCCCTTGCTTCCCAAGAGGCAGATCACCACTCTCCGCAGCAAGGAGGGACGCAGCCCCCCAGATCCCAGGGCCATGCCCCCCTCCACACGGTCTCTCCCAGAAAAGAAAGTACATTTGGCTGCAGCCCCAGGAAGCACAGGCACATCTTGTTTCCCCCTAATTACCCCAACCAGGAGCCCCTGGTGTGCAGCCAGAATAAGCCTGTCCTGTCTGCCCTCCGCTGGCTTGTCCTCACCTGCTCCAGCGGCTATTAGCACCCAGCCTCTCCCCCTGTGACTTGCTCCTGCCCCCCCCCACAAGGTACCTCAGAGACCCTCTTTCCTGCTGTGCTGTTCCCAGAACTGCCCTGTGCAGGGGTGGGTGTGAGAGCGTGGGAACCAAGGCAGAGGAAGCCACCCCTGACCAGCCTGGGGTTGACAGGTGGCGACTGGGCATGCTGGCCAGGCCGCATCTCCACTCTTCTTCTCCCAAACCCCTGTCAGCACTGAGAAGGGCCGAGAAGCACTTGGGGATACCCCCCTAGAGCCCCAAACGAGAGGCAGTAGAGCTGTGTGGGCACAGTGGAGGGCACAGGAGAGCTCACCGCCCCACCTGAGCCCACAGGTGGTACGTAGGGGGAGGCAGGAAAGGTTATTCAGGTTTTCTAAGGCAGAAAGCACCTACCAGGATCCAGGGTGTTGTGTACACCTTGACTTATTTCACCTGCACAGTTAAAGGGACTCTAAGGTCTGATTCGTTTATGGCCATGCAGCAGTTAGAGGGTGGCTCTGGGTTTCATCCTGGGGTCCTGACGCTGGCAGCCCATCCACCTGAGTGGTGGCCTTCATCAGGGAAAGCCTGTACCAAGGACCTCAAGGACGGGGGAGTGGTGGTGGCAGAGGTGACTGTGGGAAGTGATGTGGAAGTGGTGAGAGGACGTGAAAGGAGGGCTCTGGCCCACCTACCCTTCTGACTGTGGCCAGTGGTGGGTCAATGCGGCTTTGGAGGAGCACCCACTGGCGTCCACCACTGGCGTCCACCTCTGCCCGCCCCTGCCAGGAGGCCCTTCTCATCCTTGACTAACACTCCACAGTGGTGGCATTTCCCTTCCCTTCCCCAAGGACCGCCTGCCTCGCGGAGGGGTGGGCAGAGCTGTGGGGCTCCCCCTGCGAAGAGCTCTCCAGGGGCAGGATGGGACCTGGCTGCCTCTGTGCTCTCTACCCTGTCAGTGCCAGGAGAAGCTTGACCGGAGCAGCATCCAGGACAAAGCCCACCTCTGTGGACCCTCCCCTCCACAGAGGTGGGTCCCGCCTTCTAGAAGATTTCTTATATAACCTCAGGATCCAGGTTTGCTTTCCGGGGAGCCCCGTCCTTTGGGCCCCGGTAACAAAACAGCTACTCTGATCACTAGTTGGCTCCTGCATCCACGCTCTAAGTTTGTGCTATAATATGGTAGCCGTTAGCTACAGGTGGCTGTTGAGGTTAATTCAAATCAAATCAAACACTTCATCCTTCCGTTGCACTGGCCACGTTTCATGTGCTCAGTGGCCATAGGACCAAGTGTCTACCTTTCAGGACAGCACACTTTTGGAACATCCTTTACCATCTCAGAAAGTCCTACCAGCTGTCCCTGCTCCATCTAGAGCTAAGCCCCCAGGGGGAGGGGAACCACTAAGCACAGTAAGCTGAGAGGCAGCTCAATTTGGTTGAGGGCCGATGATAGGATGGGCCTCTAACCCTGCACCTTGGCTGGTGCCAGCACCACCCCTTCCCCTTCCTTCCACTTTGGAAGAGCACCCTGGATTGGGGGTAGCATTAGGGTGCACCCAGCACCTTCTGAAGGAGGAGGGCGCTTGGAAGTTGCATGCTGCTCCCTGCAGCGGGGAGGGCCTCTCTGGGCACCTGGGACTGACCCTCTTCAAGGCTCCACCCCGTTTTGAAAGAGTTGAGGGTCCCTGGGTTCCCCACCAGCTGCCCCGCGCAAGCCTTGGCCGCAGGACGCGGCTGCCCCTCCGGGAGAGGGGGGAGAGGGGGCTCCAGGCTGCGGCGGGGCGGCTCCCCCCTCGTCCCAAGCCCCAGGGCGCCCTCCCCGCAGAGGCCTGGGTTGGGGCGAGCCTCTCCCGCTCCCCAGCTGGGGCCCCGGGGGCCGGGCAGGGCCTCACTCACCGAGGCCCCGGGCGCGGGCGCCAGCAGCAGGGGCGCGAGCAGCAGCAGCAGCCGCATCTCCGCCTGCGGGAGACGCCGGGGTTGGAGCGGGCGCCGCGGGGCCGGGATCGGGCCCGCAGGTGACCCGGGAGCCGCGGAGGGACGACAGGGCCCGGGGGGGGGGGGGGGGGCGGGGGGGGCTCAGGTGCGCCCGGGCCGTCGCACTCACGTGGGGGGGCCGAAGGCCTGTCTACTACTGGCTTCGGCGAGTTCAAGACTACCCTCTTTCAGTAATTCAAAGGGTAAAAAAAGGTGTGTGTGTGGGGGGCAATTAAAAAATACCCATTGCTGGAAGACAAGTTCAGAATCAAAGCAATGAGGGATCCCTGGGTGGCGCAGAGGTTTGGCGCCTGCCTTTGGCCCAGGGTGCGATCCTGGAGACCCCGGATCGAATCCCACGTCGGAGTCCCGGTGCATGGAGCCTGCTTCTCCCTCTGCCTGTGTCTCTGCCTCTCTCTCTCTCTCTCTCTCTCTCTCTGTGTATGACTATCATAAATTAAAAAAATAATAAAAAAAAAAGAATCAAAGCAATGAGTCTCATGGGTTTTAATTTAGCAAGAGAATTTCTTTTTTAAAAAGCCATTACACCAGTTGTTTTAAAGACTTAATATAATTTTTTAAAAGAAACCCTCCAAAGATGCTTTAAAAAAAAAGCCAGTTGTATCCTGCTTTAAACCCAAGCCAGGGATCCCTGGGTGGCGCAGCGGTTTGGCGCCTGCCTTTGGCCTGGGGCGTGATCCTGGAGACCCGGGATCGAATCCCACATCGGGCTCCCGGTGCATGGAGCCTGCTTCTCCCTCTGCCTGTGTCTCTGCCTCTCTCTCTCTCTCTCTCTCTCTCTCTCTCTCTCTCTCTCTGTGTGTGTGTGTGTGACTATCATTAAAAAAAAAAAAAAAAAAAACCAAGCCAGGGATCCCTGGGTGGCGCGGCGTTTGGCGCCTGCCTTTGGCCCAGGGCACGATCCTGGAGACCCTGGATCGAATCCCACGTCGGGCTCCAGGTGCATGGAGCCTGCTTCTCCCTCTGCCTATGTCTTTGCCTCTCTTTCTCTCTGTGTGACTATCATAAATAAATAAATAAATAAAATTAAAAAAAAAAAAAACCCAAGCTAGCATTTCTCTGCCCAAGAAAAGCTCCATAGGTGGGTTCTGTAACCAGAGTGCCTGTGGTGCTGTGTGAGTATGCAGGGTGTGTGTGTGTGTGTGTGTGTGTGTGTGTGTGAATACGCAGTGTGCTGTCTGGGTGTGCAGGCTGTGTGTGACTATGCAGGAGTGCAGTGTGTGCCCATGTCCAAGGTACTGTGTGTAGGTGTGTGTGTACGCTCTGTGTGCAGTGTGGTGTGCATACGTGAGGAGTGTGTGTGTCTGTGCACAGTATGTGTGCATGTGTGTACATGTCAGTGTACTGGAGAATGACATAAGCAATATGCTCCTTCAGTACGAAACATTAAACAAGTATTGACTTGCACATTTAAATCTGAAAATCCATAATTCTGCCAATGTCCTAAACTTCTTGAAGTATGATGTGACTTCATTTTGCAAGGGCAAAACTGCATGCACAAGCCAGGTTCAGCAAAACTTAACCTGGCACATTTGGCGACCTACATGCTTCGTTAATTTAGCACAGACAGTGATTCCTTTAGTCATTATTTTCACAGTCACATCAGAGGTTCCCGGGGCTAGCAGGCGCGGGGGGGGGGGTGCTGCTTCTGCTCCCCACTCGCCACCACCCCGAGCGACCTGGCTCTGCGCCCACAGCTCCTGCAACAGCAGCGTGCGGCAGGGGCAGGCCCGCGTCGCTCTGCGAGCCGGGTCCTGGGGCTGAGGACCCGCTGAGCGACCAGGGACGCTTCTTTGCAGGCCGCCAGGGGCGCAGGTGAGCGCCGGGGGGGGGGGCGGAGGAGCCGCGGCAGCAGAGACTTCGCCTGCAACCGCCACCCACTGCTCCGCCCGCGGCTCCGGTTACCCTAGATCGAGCCCCGCGCTGCCGCCCCGAGGTCCCAAATGCCCTATTTCAGTTCACTTGGGAGAGAAGCAGAAACAAAGCAGCGTCCGACTGCAGGGCCAGCCCTGGGTCCTGCCCCCCGTCCTCGGCGGGGCTCCCCCAGCTGCCCGGGGGCAGGGCCCGCCGCGCCCCGGCCGCCCCCGACTCAGGAGGCTTCCCCGCGAGGGTCGCGAGGAGGCGCCCGCCGCCCGCCCTCCGGCCGCCCCCGAGCGCCGACAGGTGCTCCCACGCCGGCGCGGGGCCACCCCGCAGGTGCGCGCCCCGGGGCACCCGGGGGGGGCGCTGGGTCTCGGGAGCCCCGTGCCTGGGCGGGGCGGGGGGGGCGCGCGGGCGCAGCGGTGACCCGGCGGACGGGGCGGAGCGGGGTCTCCTCGGGCTGCCCCCCCTCCCCGGCGCCGCACAGCCCCTGCCGCCGGGTCCCTGTGCCTGCGCTCGCCTACCTGTCCCGGGGCGCGGGGCCCGCGGTGCGGCTCCGCCGGTGCCCGCCCTGGGAATGGGAGGTGGGCCTGGCGGCGCGGCCCGCCCGCGGAGGTTGGACTTGTCTCCCTGCCTCGGGCTGCTTCCTCCCCGCCCCGTCTCCCCCCACCCAGCCCTGCGGACTCCCATCCGCAGCCCCAGGGAGCGGCCCGCACGGTGACCGGGGCCGCGTCCCCTTGGGTCTGTGCGGGGCTTGGCGTGCCCTCCATCCTGGGTTTCCCCTCTGGGGCGGGCACCAGCCACCACCCCGTCCCTCTCCCTCTGTGCCGAGCCACCCATCTGTGCATCACCCCTTCACGCCATCGTACCTACAGCACACCCCTGTGTCCAGCCATCTGCTCCTCTTCCAGCCCTGAATTCTATACAGGGAGACCTCACTTTATCCTGCCTCCTTGGGGTTGTGTTAGAATTTGGGGGGGGGGGTGATTTGCTATATTCCACTTTGCAAATAAATTGCATTTTTTTTTTTTTTTACAAAATGAAGGTTTGTGGCAACCCTGCCTGGAGCAAGTCGGTGGACGCCCATTTTTCCAAACTGCTCTTGTCCACTCGGTGTCAGTGTGTCATGTATTGGTAATTCTTGCAATATTTCAAAATGTTTCATTATTTTCTGTTTGTTATGGTGATCCCGGGTTATGATGCCCTGAAAGCTCAGATGATGACTAGCATTTTTCAGCAACAAAGTATTTTTTAGTTAGAAAAATTGTTTTTTTAGCAGCACCTGCCTGGCTCAGTGGGTAGAGCATGGGACTCTTGATCTCATTGGTTGTGAGCTCAAGCTCCACTTTGGGCATACAGTTTATTTTTAAGGTTTCATTTATTTATTCATGAGACACACACACAGAGGCAGAGACACAGGCAGAGGGAGAAGCAGGCTCCCTGGGGGGAGCCCGATGTGGGACTCGATCCTGGGACTCCAGGATCACGCCCTGAGCAGAAGGCAGATGCTTAACCACTGAGCCATGCAGGCGTCCCATACAGTTTACTTCTTAAAAATTGTTTTTCTAGACATGCTATCGCACCCTTAATAGACTATGGGATAATGTAAACCTAAGGTTCATATACACTAGGAAGCCAAAATTTATTTGACTCACTTTATTAGGACATTCACTTTATCGCAGTGGTTTGGAACTGAACCTGCAGTATCTCCAAGGTAGCCTGCACTTGAGCCAGAGCTGAGTTTCTCCACACATACACTGCTGTTTCCTACCCTTCTAGCCAGCTTTTTCCTACTGCCGAGAATGCACCCTGGAAACCCACTCTACCTTGCAAACTCCTACTCATCCCTCAAGGCCCTGGCCAAATGTCACCTCCTCTAGAAGAGGTCCTCACACCATAGCAGGCAGAGTTGGTGCCCACCCTGCTTCCGAGGTCTCTGTCCCTATCTGCTCTAGTTTCCGGTGTGTCTATGCACCTGTGGGAATCTGAGTCTCTCTGACTCCGCTGTAAGCAGAGGATGAAGCTTGCCTCACCATCACCTGTGCCCAGGGCACTTGTTGAGATCAAGGTAGGCGCTCGATAACTGTGGTAAATTTAGTTTCCCTTCCTAGTTGTTCTTTTTGTCAACAAAGGCACTTCTTGCCTGCCATCGCTTTTGTGAAACTGAAAATCACCTACCCCCAGGAAAATAGCATTGGCCCTGGGCCACGTGGGAGGTGGGGAGGTCGCTAGGCTGGTGTGGTTCAATCCTCACCCTCTAAGACCTCCAGGCCTTTGCTTACCCTGACCACTCTGGTCAATTCCTCCCCGGACCTCCACTGAGGCCGAGAAAAGTCACCAGTGAGAGGCTCACCCCTTGTTCAGACCCCCCCACCCCACTTCCTGGCCAGGTCCTGTGGGCCATTCCTCTAGGCTGTCACTGATGTTCAGACCAAATGCTTACTAAAACATTAGCATTTTCAATCTGTCCCACTTCTTACCCATCAATGAAGAGAGAGAGAAGCAGCAGCAGCTGTGTAGCAAGGGCCCCTGGGGACTGGTGTGAATTCTTAGGCAAAGATAAAGCTTGGCAGAGACAAGAGAGTGGAATTAGCCAAAGCCTGTCTAGAAAAGGAAAATAGTTCCTTCCATCAGCCAGGAATTTTCTGAGCTTGGTCAAAGGTCCCCATCCAGGAGGAGGAAGCTGCTTCTCCTGCTGTGGGGGGTGGGTAGCTGAGGCACCTTCCTTCCTGGCCTGTCCCTGTTTTTCCTCCAGGATCCCCTCTCAGACACCCGGGCCATGATTTCTTACTCCCCGCCCTGTCGTCCCCCCCCCCCCCCCCCCCCCGTGGCACAGAAGACCCAGAGCAGGGGTGGGGCAGGGAAGCAGAGCCCACACACAGTGCTGCGGGCAGCCCCGGACCCACCAGCAAGGCCCAAGCAATTACTGGCTTAGGCAAGAAGTTCCCAACAGGCCTCAAGTTCTGCTGCCCCAGAGGGACGTGCTGAGTACGGTGCCCAGCACACAACTGTCCACCAAAAACTGGTGTGCACAATTGGTGCACATACCATAATATGGAGATTTAGAAAGAAGATTCCAGGGGAAAGGGGGAGACCTTCCCCCTCCGCACTGGCCTGACACCCCATGCTCCCTTCCACCTGGGTGGCTGAGTGGCCCAGGGTGGCAGAAGGAGTGCAGCCCTTGGAGGCAGACACCCCTAGACTGGGAACCCATCCTGCTTCTTGTAGTGTGTGAACTTAGGAAAGTCGTGTCACCTTAAGCCTCAACTTGCTCACCTGAGCTCCATGCAGAGGGTGGTAGGGGGGAAGTAGGTGGCTTCCATAAAGCGCCTACTAAGTGCTTGGCAAAAGTTAGTTCCTTCTGCCCTGCGCTCCCTCTGCCTGTGGCCTGGATTTCTTACATCCAGATCATCTCTGCAGATTGCAGATCCAGGGACACAACCTAGAAATCAGTGGCGGGATCTTTTTATAAGGCTGAGGGAGGATGGAACCCTGGAGAGAAAAGGGAGAAGGCAAAACCCCAAGAGCCTCAGGGTTCCCAGGATTCGCCACTTCCAGGAAGCCTTCCCTTGTCCTCCTCTGTGCTCCCGGTGCGGGGGGTGGGGGGGGGAGTTGCACTTTGGAACTACGATAGGGATACATTTGTCTCTCTTTCTCCCTCTAAATTGTGGACATTGCAAGGTCAGGGATATGGGTTTTTTTTCCCTTCTTTGTACCTGCACCAGAGGTTTGTGGCAGCCCTGAAGGAGAGCATGGTGTAGGGAGCACGGCTGGTGACAGCTTCCAGTGACCACACATCCGGTCTCCATCACATTCTGAAGGCCACCCCACTTCCTGCTCCCACCTGCTTATCTTCGCAGCGCTTGCCCTCACAGAGCTCTTGCACATCTCAGCTGATCTGCCACGCAGGTTTCCTGGTTGCAATCCACAGAAAAAGACGCAGTTCACTTAAACAGAAAATTTGCTTGGGGTAAGGACATCGAGCGCTCATGGAATTGACAGGAAGGCTAGAGGGTCAGGCACAGACAAGGGCCGGAGTCCCTGCCAAGGTCATAGATCATGGCCCAGGAATGGTTCTGGTAGGACTGTCCTGCTGGACACTGGACTACTGCCACCACCTCTTTCAGGTCACACTAACCCATATCGCCCCTGGATAAAGCCCTGAATGGCCCTTGTAGACGCCAACCCCAACAGGAGCATGCCTGCGCCCTGACCACCAAGACCTAAGAAACAAAAATTGGCAGGTCCCCCAGACGGGAACCTCGTTCAGAGGCTGGGCTACCCCCCACCCCCACCCCCCCAGAAAACAGATGTCTGCCACCTCCCTGCAGCACTGATCACGTGGTATTTGTTGAGCTTAGAGGATGCTGCTTCTCTTCCTCCCTTTCTGATGGTTGTTTATTCATTCCTTGAACACTTGAAGGCCTGCTCTGCCAGAAGCTGGGGACAGACCTGGCCTGTGGTGCTAAACATTTACCAACCAGCTCTCTGGAGGAGATTAAGAGCATTTATCAATGCCCATGGTGTAAATCCTCCATGGCTGTTTTCAAGCTACCAAGGCACAAACCACAGAGCAGAAGCCGTGGCCTCCAATGCACAGGATGTCCTGCCCTTGGAGCCTTCACATCCTGGGGGCGGTGTGGCATTGCAGCGTGTGGCCAATAGCCGGGAGCTCCACTGTGCCACAGCCCGCTGGGAACCCAAAAGGAAAGCGAACCCTTCACATGGGAGGACTCTGTCATTTCTCTCCACCTTTCCTTCACCCTCCCACCCGTATATCCACCTCCCTCGGCAAGAGTCCAAGCTGGGGGGCGGGGGGACTCGCACAGCTAAGTGCTCCTTACCTGTCTGCCTGCACCTCGAGCCCGCTTCCAGGTCCCCCGCTAATATGTTATCCTCCCCCTCTTGCTGCCACATCCAAGTCAGGACCTTGAAACAACCAAGCCAGACCATGACAGTGAGAGTCCAGTGCTCAGTATGTCTGGCAGCTGCTGCCCTAAGGATGCCACCCGGCCTTTGGAGGGGAGTTTTAACCCCAAAGCTGGGACAGAGATATAACTCCCCGGCCCTCCCTGTAGACACGAGGGCCATCCAGAGAGAAAGAATACGTCCTGGGGGACACCTAGTGGCTCGGTGATTGAGCATCTGCCTTTGGCTCAGGGCCTGATCCCAGGGTTCCGGGATCGAGTCCCGTATCGCCCTCCCATGGAGCCTGCTTCTCCCTCTGCCTGTGTCTCTGCCTCTCTCTCTGTGTCTCTCATGAATAAATAAATAAAATCTTTTTTTTTTTTTTTTTTTTTTAAGAATAAGTCCTGGGATGTCCTTCAGTGACATCAGGTCTGACACCTGCCCCATCTTCAACCCAGATCCTGGGACAAGTCACCAGTAGGGATGGGGAGACCATTTGCAGAAACGAGTTGAGGCAGGAGACCAGTCAGGACAGCAGCAACACAGGGGAGAAGGGGGCTTTCCAGAAAACCTGCCCTGTTTTGGTTTCCCCTCAGCAGCTCCAGCCTCAGAGATTTTATCCCTTTCCTTCTACACAGGAACACACACACACACACACACACACACACACACACACACACACACACACCTATAAGGAGG